AGTACGCATTTGTAATTAGCAGACGACGTAACCGTCTAGTCTGGAGTTGTCGTCGTCGTCGTTGTAGTGTTCATGTGTTTCTGCTGTACATGTGTACAGTACATGGATGCATGTGTGTACGCTCTTTCTGGCAATAAATCGAGCGTCAGATATGTATTATAGAACGTGTTGCGAACTTAACGTATCCGAGAACAAAAGGCAATTTTAGGGAAGCTCTAATATATCTCTTCCCTAAAACCTCCGCAGATGTGTGTTAGCTAACAGGAACATTGGTTTCTCCTACAATAAATCACGTTGAATCACACCTGCTTGCTACACCTCCAAACCAAAGGCTATATATACTAGTTTACATCGAACGGTAGCTAATGTGTGCAGATTTCAATCAATACCCGTTGAAACATTTATTATATGCACTAAGTCCATAACGTTTCAATACAACGTACTTTTTATTGATATATTATACTGTTTTTATTAATAAATTTTTATTTTTAAATTGCAATCAATTTTTTGACTTTATTATATTTTGTTTTATTATTCAAATCAGTTGGATTTATTACGTTTTAACCCTAACACGATGTAATACTTTGATTTTATTTCAAGGCAGTCTAGACAAAGTGAATCGCTTTGGCTATTGGCACGTATAGCACATAGATGTAAGATGGAAAACGGATAAATAACAAACGAAGCGGATGAACGTACAAATAAGGAAGAGCGAAACAACGCTCGAACCATTGTACAGGAATTATGCGATAAAAAGGAGAGAGAGAAAAAAAAACTGGAATAGTTAAGAAACAACTTTTAATTGCAAGAAAACAAACTTGTTTCTAAAATGCATTTATTTTAGTGCATAAACTTTCCAACATCAAAGTGTGTGTTTTTTTTTTAATTCGTCCTCTTTCTCTTCAATGCTACATAATGAATCAAAAACTTGACTGGAACGAGTGATGGTATGTCAGAGCAATGCGGCGTGTAGAAACTTTTGCTAATTAAAGCGTTTTGTATTAAATTTCACTTTCAGGTCGACGGCGGCGGTGGGCATATTATCTAATCGCTGCGGCGAAAATTTCGTTGAATTCGATGTTTGTAAAGTGTTCCTGAGATTTGTTTAGCTGTGGATTCAAAACCGGATTCGATGTTATTGTGTATAATATATAAGCTGACTGACGTTTGTAGCTGTGTTGTGTTGTACGGTGCTCTCCGGTGCACGGGCTCTGTTACGCAATCCATTATTTATTATTTAATCGACGTGAATGTGGATCTATTAAGCGACACAAATAGGGAAAGGATACAATGTTGTCGAGCCATTCTCCTAATCGCGAAAACGGATAGTAAACAAAGCCACAACTTATCAGCGCTCTTCAGGCCGACTCGTGTAAACATAACGCGCTTTTAAATTTAATTAAAGACAGGGCAATTTATTCCCGTTACGCAAACACGAAACCCCGCATCGAATCGAACTCATACTTACGATGAGCATCATCATCTCCCTTACCTTATCATTCCGCGAAAAATGTTACAATCTATTTGCTCAGGTGTGTGGTTTAGATATCGCCGTGCCTCGTTTACGTTTGATCGGGTTAAGGTCTAATTGCGGCAACAGCACGATGAACCGATGAAAGCGAGTAATTAAAGCGGAGCTTAACTTTATAGTTTCGGCAGTAAAATCAGCTCGTAATTGAATTGCGATTTTAATGATCCGGTCATAAATTTTCTCTGTATTCGGTATTAATTCCGACAGTCCTTAAGAAAGAAAGGATACGTTTACATTTAAACACGTATATTCACTTTGTTGTTTGCTTTACTTCTATCCACCTTCTGTCTCAATTCCCAATTGTAATGAAACCACATGCTTATTTTTTTCAATTAGATCAGAGTTGGCAAAGGGCATTGGTCACGCATCCGCTCCACAAGTTAGTTGAATAGTTTTGAAAGAAAATCAGATATTTAGTTTACGAACTAATTTTCAAATTATATTCTAATTCATTATACAACACTAATAATAATATTATGATTCTAATAATGCTTTGAAAATTTATCACGCGTCGAAAGACATATTATTCCCAGTTAATAAAGATGTTTTCCATTATTTTATAGAATGTTGTTTTGAAACATGTAATTCATTTCAATAACATTTTTATAGTGTTTACTTTTATTTATAATTGACCAACTCTCATTATGCCGTTTACACTTTATTTACTTTAACATGTAATTTTAATAGTATAATCATTGTTTTGACTTCAGTCGATTTACTTTAAATTTATATTCATAATGCAAAACACAATTTAAAATAATTTCTAATGAAAACTTGATATTTATCTTGTATAATAGAAATAAATAATGCTCGTCAAAAATCAAATTACATCATTTTTTTTGAAAACAATAACGTTTTGAGTTTGATGGACATAATTTCACTTGCCGCTTTCTAAAGGTGTATATACAATTTTTATATTTTATAAAGGTGTGTCTCAATATAGAATTGAATGTCCTAAAAGGAATGTTGCTGTTGGTATAATTATTTTTAAATTGTTGGATGCTCACGATGTAAATGGTTAGACTTAATTTCTATGACTTTTTCTTAATAATGTTTTAAAATTTATAATTTTCTCTTCAGTTTTAGTGCATTTATATCACGTTTCGAAATTGAATACTCGCAAAGATAAATTGTGAATGTTGAATTTTTGCTTACGTTATTTGTGAAATCTGAATTCCAAATCTTTCACACGCAAGTTCTCGCTTACCAAATTACCACGCAACTATTGCACGATTAAATATGTTTGTATATATATACTTATATAATATGGATATTCCATTCAAAAGCGTACGAAAAGTGTATTGAAATGTTTAATATTTAAGGTTTCGCTTTGGGATAAAATAAATTTAGGTTAAATAATAAAGTTTTCTAAAGTCTTTTCAAATCGAAACGACTTTTAAAAGCTATAAAAAGTGTCAAAAGTTTCAAATGATGTCAAGACAAATTATTAGAACATAAGGTCAAGAACAATTGAATAACAATATTGTTTTATTTGTTATTGTTTTGTATGATTTTTTTTTATATATATTTGTCTAAGATGTGTTTGTAAATAAATTTTCGCAACTGAAAAGAATATTTATTTGACGAGTGGACGTAACACATGAATCGCAATTAGACTTCTTGTGGTGGCTCATTAAAAATAGAAACACGTAGAGTTTAAGGAATAAAAAAAGAGGAGTCGTGACGAAAGTGAGGGGAGGCCAAAGGGGGAAGAAGTGGCTGGCGACAATGCAGATGGATAAGAACCGGTTGTCGCAACTCTGCGAAAGAGAGACGGATTATATCCGGACAGGAATTATCTTCTTCATGCTTCTTGACGTTCCGCGGCTTTCTTGGATTGTTTATATATTCCGTGCGCACTTTGGCGACTTTTGCATTACACATCTTAGAAAGAAGACACAACACAGACTTGGCTCCTTATAATTGGCTTTATATGAACATATAGGAATTTTTATAGCTTCCGGTCGAAATCTTTCCGCTCGCTCAAATTTAGTCACTACTAAATATACATTATTTGTTTATCAAACTTATAAATATTCTAGCGTTGTCATTTTGCTAAAAAATCTGAGATCTTCGTCCATATAATATTTCTGCAAACAAACTACATCGCATCGCCAACTCTCCTCCATTCATCCACGCACGTTATGCAATTCTCGCCGCAATGTATGAACACGATTTCAAAGTCGCGTTTGTAATTTATTTATATTGAAAGTGTCAAAATGAAAGGTCACATTTTTTTTTATTCGACTATAGCATTTTGTTGTTGTTGTTGTTAATGTTGTTTCTGCAGCGATAATAAATGTCCAACGATCAAAAATGCCTTCCGAGAACGCAGGTGTACGTGACAACATCCATTTGATAGTAAATACAATTTACATTCCCGATCTTAGCCAATGTTAACAGTTGTTTTCAACAATTTTGCCCAGTCGGTTTATTTTTGTTGTTGAAACCTCAGGAAAGTGTTTTTATCTGATTGTGGGCCGCCGCTTATGATGTTTTTACGTAATATTATTAGAAACACACCCAAATTTGATTACGGCTTTGACGGCCGCTTATGGGAATTAAGTGAATGCACCAATCTTAACAACAATAAACACTTGTAATTATTATCATTGGCCAACGATGTGGCAAAACAGAGAGGATTTATTATTCTTGTGGGAAAACTTAATTGGTCTATTGTCTCGCAAGCATTTCAAAACAAATTTTAATGCAGTCTCGGATTATAATGTAGTCATGAACCATTATATTTTCAGACTTACTTTGATGAATTACCAACATTTGATTGATCAAACAAAAAGTAACTGAGCAATAATAATTTCCTTATGTGATGTGTGAGAAATGAGATTGTAGGAATCATTATCAGGTTTGCAGTTAATGTAATTATGTGGACTATGTAGGTCGATGGGCAAATTGAATGATGCATATATAGAGCGCTAAAATATAGTGATATTCTAAGAAGGTTTGAACTTTATAGTGAAGAGAACGGCGCAGTTGAAATTTAATTGTCTGCAGCGAATTGTGTTTTACGCTCGTGCGAGTGTTTGGAAGATGCAAGATGGCTTTAAAATTGAATGAGAAATTGCCGTGTGTTTTGTGTGTGCGTTCTCTCGTCCTGAGAACGATCGGAGTAATGGCGTGCAAGGGCTGTGATATGAAAGATGATGTCGAGAGCTGAACGTTCTCATAAGCAAGAAAAGAAGAATTGAAGAAGTTCTGAGAGGTTCGCGTTGCGGAGGGTTATTATGTGTGCGCTTTTTACACTTACGTTGTAAAAGTGCATGAATTATAAACAAGACCCTCGGCTCTCTGAAATGGAATAGGAGAGCTATAAATATGGACTTTGTGCGTTCGACACTTGTTATTATTTGAAATGCTCACGAAAACGTATATGTTGTGTGTGTGTATGTATTTATATGTTTTGCAGCACTAAAAGTCAACCCATTTTAACAGCTTAATTTATCTGTTTCAGTACTGCTTAGTGATACCATCGAGAACGACGGTCTTCAGTTCAAGACTTTAAAGATCACTGATTTCGGTTTGGCCAGGGAGGTTTACAAGACGACTAGGATGTCTCAGGCCGGAACGTACGCCTGGATGGCGCCCGAGGTCATACGAAATTCGACTTTTTCCAAAGCCAGCGATGTTTGGAGCTATGGCGTCCTTCTTTGGGAATTACTGACTGGGGAGACGCCCTACAAAGGGATAGACACATTGGCCGTGGCTTACGGGGTCGCGGCTAATAAACTCACCCTTCCTATACCGAGCACGTGCCCTCAACCATGGAGAGAACTCATGGAAGGTGAGTGCGAGGGAGAGGGCACCACCCTGTCTGATTTTGGTGCTGCGGTTTGGCTTTTCCATCCGTCGACGGTCTTTCATTATTTTCATTTCACATCCCGTATTGTTCGGTGTTCTTTTAGACACGGCGTCCGCATGTTTTGAATACCTAATCACAGGTCTTTGCCGCGATGAAATTCATTGTTTGCTTACATCGTCTCCTAAATAGCTAAAATTGTCGTCTTCGTACGACAAAAGGAGAAAGAACGTTCCTTTCAATGAATGCCATTTTATAAATATTTATTGGAAGGTGCGTTCAGTAGCATATCAAATATGAATGCGTCTTTTTATATAAACCGTTTGCTATTTCCATGTCTTTTCCATCTTACATACACACTTATATAAATACATAAATCACCATTTTTTTCCTATAAATATTGATAGCCCACATGGACAACTGTACACTTTTTTTTAAAAGTCCGTTCGTTCAACGCAACGCGATTTCTCCAATTCGTTTTGATAATTCCAGAATTGATTTGTGTATATTTATTTAGTATTATCAGTCATGTAGCATCGCGACTTCCTGCTCACTGTTAAATACAAACGACGAATATAATTAAATGACATCTGTCCAAACAAATGCCCATTGTTTTCGTGCCATAATAAATCTCCCTTGTGATAAAGGAATCCATTAATTTTGCAAAATAATTATGTTTCATATTATATCTTCAATTACTATTTACTACACTATATGCTACTACACGATTACACATTTGTATTTGTTTTTTTCTGGTAGCATGTTGGGAATCGGATCCACACCGAAGGCCTTATTTTGTAGATATTTTGGGTAAACTGGACAGTATCGTGCATTCATCTTTTACCCAAACGCCACACGAGAGCTTTCACACAATGCAGGACAACTGGAGGCAGGAAATCGAGGAAGTTCTCCTAGAATTGAGGCGGAAGGAAAAGGTAAAATTGTTACAAGACACACTCGCGTTACAAACGAAATGCAGAGCTTTTTTTAAGACAAAAAAAAAACGTTTTAATTTGATTTCCTTCTTTTCTTTCTTTTGCTGCCGCACAATTAAAATAAAAGGCTTGTAAATCATTTGAAGAGGTAAATCGATTTATTTGTATTTTTATTCGATACTTTTTTTTTTGTTGTCGTAGCCTTCTTTTTTTAATATTCTCTTTTTATTTCATCAAGGAATTGAGAAACCGGGAGGAGGATTTGAATAGGGCGCAGTTGCAACAAAGAATGCACGAGGAACAGCTGAGGCAAAGGGAGCAGGAGCTGCAAGCAAGGGAAATAGATTTGCTGGAGCGAGAGTTGCATTTTATGATTAAATTGCAGACCCCGACTCCAATCAAACGGAAAGGTATTTTTCATTTCAATTAAGAGCATCGGATCAATTTCCCTTGTGTGTATTTTTTTTTTAGGAAAATTTAAACGGTCCAGATTAAAGCTTCTGAAGAAGGAGCCTGGTTCAAATATAAGTTTTCCATCGGACTTCAGACATACGATTACCGTTCAGCACACAACCGATCACAAGCCTTTGAGCAGCGTGATATCACCTAATAGCCCTCCTGGATCACCAGCGATCACAAGACTTAGAGCCATTGCCCGTGAGTAACAATACCATCACTTTACTTAACAACATTTTTTTTTCTTTTAAATCGACAGAAATTGGCATGGTTTTGTGTGTGAAAAGAATGCATGGTTTGGTTTTATTTATTTTTTTTTGTTTATTCTTTACATTTAGTGCGTGTATAAGTTTTCTAGAAAATTTTGTCATATATATATATTATTTTTAATTTCTTAGAAACACGAATTTAAAAATTACATTCTCTTAATTTGCGAAACATTTTAGTTCGTCAAGGCAAATTTTGACGCGATTGCTGTACTTCAGTATATTATTCTTCATTCGCAAATATAATACGCAATATATAAACAACACATTGATTATGGAATTTATACTTTTCAATTTATTCACTCATTTTGTTTTCAATTATCTTCTTCTTATTAATCACTCAGTTTACTATTAAAGTCTCCATTGATGGGTAACAGCAGTAAAATAATTTTATTTCCTATAATTTTGTTAATGGTCTCTTGCGGTTTAATGTGAAATTATTTGAAAACTCTAACGCCAGGGTTGCAAGCATTTTCAAGAAAGTAGGACAAAAGTTGAAAGCTTTTATAAAAGTTATTACCGGTATTTGGAGGAAATAAGCGTATATTCCGATAATGGTTTTATGTTTAAAGAGATATATTTCACGTATAGGTTAGAATTATTTAAATAAATCTTATTATGTTAACGAAAATTTAAAGTTTATGTATAATGTATTCTTGAAGGTGAAACAGCTTTAAATATTATAATATTATATAATTTCCGTTCCATTTTATTTAATATATTTGTACGTTCTAATCAAGAGTGAATAATGAATTGGTATATTTCGTAATTCATTAAATTTATTTACTGGAGTTTAATCAAATAAGTATATATTATTTAATTTGGTCATGGTTTTATTGAGTATATTAATGAGTATAATATGAAGATTGATGAAGTAAATTGAGTAATATGCGTTCCATAATCAATGAAATATTTAGGAGAGCCTAAAGGTTCTAAAGGAATTTAAGTGGTGAGAATCGTTGTATAAATGGATTAGGTTTAGAAGAGTGGAGAAAGGTCGAAAGTAAAAAGGAAAATAAAAATGTACAAAAAGAGACTTAAGTGTATGGGGACAGTTTTGAAACGTTCTCTTGCAGTGCCAGCGGATGGAGTAAAGGGAAAGACTTGGGGTCCGAGTACATGCCATCAACGCGAAAGAAGTCAGATACCATCGCTAAGGCCGGCGCCGAGGCCGGGCGGAGCGTGGTCAAAGAGTGCGCCCAACTTAGACAAGTCGAGGAACGCTCTTAGTCGCCTTCAGCCTGATATAGGTAACACAACAACCCCCCAACCAAACCCCCCCGAAAGTAAACACAGCTCTGGTGGTGATAATAACAACATGCATACTTCAACACTCCAATTATTCTTAAACAAAGTAACCTCTCTAACCTTTTCCGAATTCAAATACCGAAACAACACCTCTTCTTTGCGTAATAATAGTTTCCCCAATAATAATAATGCTTCATCTGTGTTGGGCGAGAACCGACGGAGTCGGTCCATCGGCAACATCACCGAATCTCACTATGATACTGTGTTTAGTACGAACAGTTTCGTTATAGCGCGCGGTATTTCCAATAACAACAATTCCATTAGTTTCACCCAAGATTTCGACGACGATACCGAGCATTTAATAAAACCGTGATTTTATTTTATTTTTTTTATCTACTCAATCATCATCGTTATTCAGTATATTTATACTTTCTTTCTCTTTTCTATTTTCAAACGAAAATTTAAAGGAATTCTTACTGAAGAAAGCCTTCCCAACATTGCCTGTAAGTCTTTATATAGCTCAAACATACCAACAATACATTTTTTTAAATTATTATTTTTATATACATATATATTAAGCACAGTAGCATGACACGATATATTTTTAAGTATAATTATTTTAATTTCAGCTTTTTGTAGTTTTTATTATACATATATATATACATATAATTATAATTTGATATTATTTTGTAATTTTTATGTAGTCTTAGTCATTATTTTGCTATATATTCAAAGCTGCTTGAACACACGATTTTGATTGTATAATTTTTAATTATTATAATATCACCGCTGTATTTATTTTGTCTCTGTTGTTTATTCTTTTTTTTAATTAATTTTATGTTGTACTTTTTTTTAGAAGTGTTCAAATCGCATAATTATTATTATTTTTTTTGAAATTCCTATCCCAGGTGATGGTTTTTTTTATTAATGTATGTACTATTTACAAAAAAAAAATAAACATTGCTATAATGTTTCTTTTTATTTACAATTTTTATTTATTTCTATCACTCGCATGTCCTGGGCTATATTTTAATTACATGAACCTAAACCGCACGTTTTTTTTTTATTTAATTTACTTTTATTATTTATACATATCTATTTTTAATAATCGAATTCCAAAGATCCCGACTAAAAGAATTAAATATTTAATCGATACAAGAAATTTGCTTTAGTTGTGTTTTTTTCTTGTGTAGCTTTTGGATGTGTTTTCGTTTTTCTTCTGTTATTATTGCTATTATTACATTTTAAAAGCGAAAGAAAAAAGCTAGAACGTTGTTGGTTTGGCTTAACAGATTTCACGTCACCCGAAGATTGGGGTCCCGAGTATCCGATTCCCGGTTCAATACGACACAATGTGCCTATGCCTACGCTTTACAGTGCAGATGGTAAGATTATCCAAGAGTAAGAGTCAGAATGTTCGCATGTTTTACTGTTTTTAGGGCTGAAACTGAAACCAAAATTGGGGATCGTCGAATTGGTCCTTTACAATATTGCAGCTATGCTGGCTGGAGTCGCTTCTGGCTACGACGTACGGTTATCTAATATATCACCATTGCATCCTAAGCTGCAACCAAACAGGTTATTATCATACATTTATACTTAACTGTAAATGAATAATCATGTAGTGTAATTATGACAATTCAAAATTTAATATTTGCTATTGTAAGTTAATAATTAGACTTAAATTTTAGATCGGAAGGTAATGAGGTGCAACCTTGGAAATCCGCGGAAACTCAAGACTACGAATATTCGTCGTCGAGCGGTTATAGCCACAATACATATCACGGTCCTACGAGACATCATCGGCCAATGCTGACTGGTTCTCAGCTGATCGCGTTACATCACGAAGAGCAGAAACCGCTCAGGTTCACCGATTCCCCTCAGCATCATCCGAACATTACGCCAAATCCATCGCCTCGCCGAAAGTCTAGCTCAACGAGCAACGACGGTTCCGAACTGTATATATCTCCTCCGTACGAACGAGCAGCTACGATTTACATACCTGGTGATTACCACGGCTGCCAGACGGACAGCAATCATTGTTCAACTTGTTGCCAACGCTCAGACACCTACAGGACTGAAACTAATTTAGGATATAGTTACCATCCCCAAGACCCCGCGTACGGTGGATACAGTTCGGAGTACAGCGGTACAACCACCACGATGTACGGTTACGTAACCGACTACGCTTACGATAACCCCAGCAGCATGAGCAGCGGTTCGAGGACACCACAGAGATTACCAATAAACACGCATAGAAGAACGCCTTCCAATGTGTCTAACGCCAGTTCGACTACCACCAGCGGTTCAAATATTAATCCTAGCTTTAAACTGGAGGATGACTATTCGTTCATTCGTCGACAGGAATTCGATTACGCGCCGTTCACACGACAGAACTCGCACGAATTGGAACGACCGACGACCCTCGAATCTTCCGGATTTTTCAAGCTTAGATCTAGTCTGAAGAGGAACAACTACCAAACGACTCAAGGCCATTCAGGTGGAAATACTCCCACAAACCCCACGCCTCCCGATAGCTTGACCAGCGACGATAGCTCTTACGTTTCCGCTAAGGATAGCAACAATTCAGTAAGCCGCGTTAGGTTTTCGCCTATTTTGATGGACATAAATATGCCTGGACAGAATCAAGATGCGACGATACCAATCACAGCTACGAGACGAACCAGACCCAGGCCTACCCTAGCCGACATGGAAAGAGAATTCATGTCGTAATAATATGTTCGACGCTTCTAATTTAATTTATTATGTGCAAGTATAGAGTGAAATGAAAAAAAAATATGAAAAAAGGAAGGAAGAAACAAATTGGAAAATTATTATATATGTACATAAGAGTTACCTTTTTATATATTATATATTATGGAGAAAAGTAAAGATGAAGCACGTTTTTAATTGGAATTTAAACAGTGCTTTAGTGCTCAATACTCACGGTTCAGTGACGTAACAAACTGAACTTAGCGGTGGTTCTACATCACGCAATCCATGGTGCCTGTTCTTCATGCAGTTATTATTTTTAAGTGATATTTAATATATTGTATAACTTCATAGTCATTCATGTGCAATTTAATTTTTAAACCTACGAAATTACGAAAGAAGTATAAAATTTGAAAAAAAAACGCTGCCTTAAATCATTATAAATAATAATATACTGTCAAAAACAAGAGGATTGAAAAGAAAATTGAATAATAATCGTAAATGCATTTGATAATCGTGATAGAATTTTTTCTCAATTATTCAACATTCCCGTAACGATGCTTTTGCACATAATCAGACCAACTTTTTGTTTGTTTTACAGTTCTATTTATTTCAATTGAATGTGTTTTCTTATACTTAATTTGAATAACTCAAGTAATGTTCTTATTATAAATAGATTACTTAATTATTGGGAGTATTAATTAATAATTTTCGTGGCCATTGTAATATGCAAGAGAAATATAACAACAATAAAAAAATACGAAAGAAAAAAAAAATAGGAGAAAAACTAATGCAGTATTTCATACAATATATTTATTATGTATATATTATAAATATAAAATAGGAAAAAATAATTAATAAATGAAGGAGAGAATAAGTTAGTTGTAAAACTCGGCTTCCACGTAATAATAATAATAATGTCACCGACCTAGATTATTTATTTTTTAATTTAGGAAATACATTCCAAATTTTATTATTATTATCACCCCGAAAATAATAAAGAAATGGAGGTAAAAGAAAATATAAAAAAAATAACCTAATACTCATTGTGTGAATGAATTGTAACAATCAACTCAAATATATTTGTAAATCAGAAAATACGTATTTATTTTTATTTACACCTAATTCCAATAAATTTAAATTTTTAAATATGCAACTATTACGCCGTGGGATCTATATCGCAAGCCCGACAACCGAAAAACCGTCTATTCCCGTCTATATCCCGACTATCTAAATCCCGACGTTCGACATCCCGATTGTATTAAAGTCTCGACGCTTGAAATCCCGACTTCCATAAAAATGTTATTGTAGAAATTTATAATGATAAAAGACACTGTCGGGATTTCGATATAGTGGGGATTTTGATTGTCGGGATTACGATAGTTGGGATTTTGAAATAGTCGGGATTTCGATATAGTCACGATTTCGAACGTCGGGATTTCGGTTGTCGGGCTTGCGATTGCCACCGTATGCCGTGATAAGTATTCTATTTCTGAAGAAATAGATACACATTGTAAAACACTGAAAAAGTAGGCATTTTTCACATTCTTAGTAAATTAATACTCTATGTATTTACGAGGGGCCTAACAATAGTTCGCTCATTAATTCAATTGTTTCTGAAAAAAAACAAATGCTGTTTATCAGAATGTTAAAGACTAAAGATATTTCATGTGAAATTTCAAGAATATATGCGAGAAAATACAATATTAGCGATGTAAGTTGTGGAAATTCTCTTCTTGCTTGCTTCGTCGCTATTTTTTACATTACGAGAATGCATGCACACTGCTGAAAAACCAACAACTTTCTTGCACTCTCTGGCATCGATGAAATTCACATTGCACCTAATTCTTCGGACCTAGCGCTGTGTGATTTCTGGCTTTTTCCGAAAATACAAAAAAAATGAGGGAAAAAGTCTTCAGTTCCAATGAGAAGATCATTAATGCAGTTAATGTCGAACTTGAAAAGCTTCAACAACACGATTTTGAGGAATTAAGGCTTTATCGACTTCAAAAATGTATTGAAATAAATAGAAATTATGTAGAGAAATTACGAAATGATGAAAATTATAAATAAGAATGCGAATGTTAATTATTTGGTACTAGAACTTATATTAATTTAAAACAATATTTCTTTTATTTAAAATAAAAAACATTAACGTAATTAATTGTTCTATTTCAAAGATTATCTATTTTTTACTTTTGAATAACTGTTATTTATTGGTGTAAAACATCAATTATAATAACAATAACATAATTTATTTTATATTTGTTTCTACTGATTCTACAGTGTAAATAGATTCGAAGAAGAAAGTTCGGGTTTATTCGGATCACTCCGTATAATTAATCAGTGACGATATCAGGATTCTACAAGCGCATCGTGTGTTTATGTATAAATTCAACGCTATGCGTACATTACATGTTTATAAATAGTGTTTCGTTTTAAATATCTTCAAGTGCATCAAAATCGCAATGTTTAAAAATCTGCTAATAAAACATCAAGTACAAAAACGTTGTTTCTGCAAAGTGAAAAATATATCAAAAGAAGATGTTAACATTAAACCAATTGGTTGGGATAAAGCGAAACCGTTCGACATTATTCCTGGACCAAAGCCATTACCGATCGTAGGAAACTCGTGGCGTTTTCTGTCTAATGATTTCAAGAGAAATCAGGACAAATTCCATATGGAGTTCGTATTTAATATATCTCAAATGATACATTGATGTAAATATTTAAACTTGCAGATTGCATGAGACGTACGGTGATATTTGCAATTTAAGGAATATTCGCGGTTCCTCGATGCTAATGGTATATTCACCTGAAATTTTCGAAATGGTAAACTTATCTTATTTGCCTTTTAATTAGTTTATATAAATTTAACGTTTAGATGTATCGCAATGAGGGAGTATGGCCAATACGAGACGGGTTTGCAAGTTTGAATCAATACAGAAGCGTGACTAGAAAAGACATTTATAACGGAATGGGTTTATTGACTATGTATTTTTTTTTTGTAATTGTTGAAGGGAAATTTTCTGATGCTGATACAATTGTAGGCAAGGTGCAGATTGGCATAATTTGAGATCGAAAGTGAATCCAATTTTCATGCAACCGCGCACTGTGCATCTATACATATCTTCTATGAATTTGGTTGCTCATGATTTCATCAAAAGAATGGAAAAGTTGATGGCGAAAAATAACGAGATGCCGGCGAATTTCGAGCACGAACTTAATAAATGGGCATTGGAATCGATCGGTATTATAACTTTGGATAGACGATTGGGTTGTTTAGAAGAGAATCCAACGGAAGAAGTTCACGCTTTGATTAATTCCGTCGTTGAACTGCTCAGGCTTTTATTTCTTATTGATATGACAGCGTTCGGTAACATTTCTATAAAGTATAATTTGGGGCTTTGGAGAAAGTTCGTCAAATATGAAGATTATGTTACAGAGTGAGTAATTATTTATTTTGAATCCTTGTTGCTATGTATGAAATTTGTAGTGTTTGCTTCAAGTATATAAACGAGGCTTTCGAAACTTTGGATCATAATAAACCGGAGAACGAGAAGAGCGCCTTCGAAAAACTGTTAAAAATTGATAAGCAGTTTGCAATGATTATGACTTTGGATATGATATCTGCTGGAATTGATACAGTATGTATTGAAAGATTTGGATGCGAGAATTGAATATTATTAACTTGTGATTTGAAGACAGGAAAATCGACTGGAGCCATTTTATATTTTCTTGCGAAAAATCAGAATGTGCAAAAGAAATTACGGGAAGAATTATTGGAAGCCTTACCAGATGCAGATACACCATTGACTAAAGAAATTTTAAATGAACTGCCTTATTTAAAAGCTGTTATTAAAGAAGCACAAAGATTAGCTCCAATTGGAACTGGGAACTTGAGGAAAACCACGAAGAATGTTGTTTTAGGAGGATATCAAATTCCCGCCGGAGTAAATATTTTCATTTTATCAGTGACAATTAAATCATATATCTTCTTCAGGTGAACGTATTCATGGGAAATTTATATTTAAGCCGGTCAGATAAGTATTTCCCAAAATCAAAGGAATTTATACCGGAACGTTGGTTGCGCTCAACTACCGGTGAAATGTCTTACAAAAATGTTAATCCATTTGTTAGTCTTCCTTTCGGTTTTGGAGCCCGATCTTGTATAGGCAGGCGACTTGCCACTTTACAAATTGAGATTGTTATTGCTAAGGTGAGATTTACTTAACGTGATTTCATTTCAGTATGATGTAATAAATTCATTTTAGATTATAAGAAATTTCCAATTAGATTGGCACCAAGAAGATATGCTTTTTGAAACTGAGCTTTTATATGGAATTAAATCACCTTTGAAACTACATGTAACAAGAATTTAATAGTATTGTAACTTAATTCTTCTGAAAACAAATTGTATACATAAATTTGAATTCATAAAATTTGTGTATATAAAAAGGTTTACTGCAATGGAACTGATTAATTAATCAATTGTTGTGTATATTCCGGATGATAATTTAAAACGCGTAATAGATAAATGAATGAACAACACTGCAAATTCTATGTATTTTTATATGTAATGAAAACATATAAATAAAATGAGATACTGTCTCAAGTTTATAAACAAGAAATTGTATTTGATAATGAAATAAATATTTATATAATAATGTTTTGCTTTGATATTGAAAGAGATAAATAGAATATTCATGTATGTATCAATAATTAGAGTTACACAATCAATTTTATATACTGATGTAATGAAAGTATGAAACCTTTAATCAATTTTATGACAATCGAAATATATGTATGAATTTATATTTATTTATCTCTACGTAGGTTAGCGACTGTGGAAAAATGTACTTTGAATTAATTACTGCATATAGATAAGACTTAAGTTTAAATACAGCTTGTGTAGATTACGATACAAAACGATTTTATATCATGAGAAGCATTTTATAATTCAAATTTATTCAACTCTAACAACATAACTGTTTATTATATAAAATCCATTTACGTAACAATAAAACAAACATATTTTGATACTTTACAATAATTTGAAACCGATGACTTGAATTTATAAGTATTAAAACAAAACTTTAGATGTTTTTTTTTACAACGTGAGATAAATTTTTGTCAACTTTACATAACAATCTTCGGTTTGATTCGGATCTGATCGTATTAATATCAGCTGTTTCTTGTTGGCTCAGTCACATATATAATCTAGACTATTTACATTCTACTTAGTACACGATTTGTTATATTTTATCGTCGTAAAATATTTCTGTGCTTTATCAATGACAATGTTTGGAAATATGCTTTTGAGACATCATTTCCAAAAGCGTTGTTCCTGCAAAGTGAAAATTCTTACAATATCGAGAAACATTAATTGTGCTAGTCATGATAATCCACCTGGCTGGGATGGAGCGAAACCGTTCGAAAGCATACCTGGACCGAAACCATTACCACTAATTGGAAACTCCTGGCGCTTCCTGACTAAAGATTTTAAAATGAATCAAGACAAAGTGCACATGCGGTTCGTATTCGAAAAGAAAAACACGTTTGACAAATTCATCAAACATTTAAACCTTTAGATTGCATGAGAAGTACGGCGATATTTGCCTCTTAAGAAAAGTTCGTAAAAATTCAATGATCATGGTTTATAGTCCTCAAATCTTTGAAATGGTAAATCTTATATAAGTACACAAGTAAACTGTTTATTTATAATTCTTGTAGATGTTTCGCAACGAGGGAATGTGGCCTATAAGGGACGGTTTTCATAGCGTGAATCATTACAGGAGTGTGACTAGAAAAGAAATTTTCAACGGAATGGGTTTAATAAACATGTACTTTTTGGAATATTTTTGAAGCGATCACAATGATGTAAATTAAATTATAGGCATGGTGAAGAATGGTACAATTTAAGGTCGAAAGTAAATCCAATTTTCCTGCAACCTCGCACCGCTCAACTTTATATATCTTCGATGAATTCGGTCGCCGATGATTTCATCAAGAGAATGGAAAATTTGATGGCGAAAAATAACGAGATGCCGGCGAATTTTGAGAACGAAATCAATAAATGGGCTTTGGAATCTATAGGTGTTATAGCTTTGGACAGAAGGTTGGGTTGCTTGGACGAGAAACCGACGGAAGAAGTTCAGAATTTAATTACTACCGTTGTGGAACTATTTAAATTGGCTTTTATTATTGACTTGACGCCGGTAGGTCAGTTTTGTATAAAGTACAATTTGCCGACTTGGAGGAAGTTCGTTAAGTACGAAGATTTTGTTACACAGTGAGTAAACATTCATTGCAAAGTCGTCTAGTACAATTTCGCAATTACAGGATTTGCTTCAAGTATATTAATGAAGCTTACGAAGCGTTGGATCACAACAAACCTGAACACGAGAAGAGCTCTTTCGAAAAATTATTAAAAATTAATAAGAAAGTTGCAATGGTTATGACTTTGGATATGTTAGCTGCAGGAATTGATACAGTATTTATTTAAATATTTCTATCTAAACAATAAATTTATTAAGTTGTAATTTTAAGACGGGAAAATCGACCGCGGTAATTTTATATTTCCTTGCGAAGCATCAGGAAGTACAAAAGAAATTGCGCAAGGATTTATTGGAAGCCTTACCGAATGCTGATACACCAATAACTAAAGACATTTTGAGTAATCTACCCTATTTGAAAGCCGTTATTAAAGAATCACTCAGAATGGCTCCAATTGGAACTGGGAACTTGAGGAAAACCACGAAGAATGTTGTGTTGGATGGATACCAAATTCCCGCCGGGGTAAATATATTTGTTTAATAATTCACAATTTTATCAAATATCTTCTTCAGGTGAACGTATTCATGGCAAATTTATATGTATGTAAATTGGAAAAGTATTTCCCGAAACCAAATGAATTCATCCCGGATCGTTGGTTACGATCAACTGAAGGAGAGATGTCTTACAAGAATGTTAATCCATTCGTTAGTCTTCCTTTCGGTTTTGGACCTCGATCATGTATAGGTAGACGATTTGCCAATTTAGAACTGGAAATTGTCATTGCTAAGGTAAGGTTTACTTCATAACTTTGAGATTGATTAATTAGAATTATTTTCCCATAGATTATAAGAAATTTCCAATTAGATTGGCATCAAGATGACATGATTTTTGGACGTGACTTGCTGTACGGTATAAAAGCTCCTTTAAAAATACACGTATCAAAAATTTAAGGCTTAAATATGTTAATTTTCTATAAACTTATTTCTGAGAAAAAATAGTTTTTAAAAATTTATTATTTAACATAATTATGACCGAAGTATTTCGGCCCTAGTTTTTTAATTAATAGTAAAAATATATAATAGGTCATTCACGTTATGAGGTTTTATGTAATGTTACGTAACTAATTCCGATAAGTTTTATTAATTAATTAATTGTATTGTTGCTTTTTAATGAACATTTGTTAATAAATACGAAGTATTTTTATGCTTTTGTTTAACTAAATTTGCATAGTTTAATATTCATCCACTATTTATATATGTGCATGAGCCATACGTATTAACAACATAAATTTGCAGCTCAATTATTTCGTGGACACTTACTGAATTTACACACAATAAAATTTTAGAGAAATAAACTAACATTTATAACAAAAATATATAAATTCAATAGTCCATTCTATTTAAAATTATACTTTTATATTTTATTATATGTATTAATATTATTTTTATATTGGAAATAAAAATCATTGTTGAATTATTAATAGTTTTTCTGTATATTTAATGATCTTGAAAAAGGTTACATAATCTTAAAATACAATATGATGAAAATCATCTTAGCCCGGACTAAACACTGTTTTCTATAGATATACATTTCTATTCTGCATGTTAATAGAAATATACAATATAGTTCATATAACGTAGTAAATAAATCAATGACGGTCCCATATATATACAGAAGAACGATTTTATATAGCACAAACGAATTCATCTTATTATTGATATGTCTATAATAATTACACTCAAGAACCATTTACTAATTTTACGTTTGAGGAGGAAACCAGAACATGTTAGAAATGCATTCAAATCATACGAGTCCATTTCAGGACGTCCCGACTTGCTTTTAATAGGCAATTCGTGACTATTTTTGAAAACAGATTTCAGGATGAACCAGAGGAAATTTCACAAGGAGTTAATAACTGTATAGCACTAATACCTAACGTATAATACATCATTTTTGTAGACTGCACAGACGTTTGCCTTTTAAGAAACGTTAGGGGTAATGATATAATATTCATTTATTTTCATAACATAATAGAATATTAACATTCAATTGTAGTTTTTTTTATAAATGAAGGAACATCACCTGGTTGATGGTTTCCAAGCAATTGATCATTATAGGACTACATCTAGAAAAGATGTGTTTAAAGGCATGAATGGATTAATAGGAACGCACATAAAAATGACCATATATCTATTTTAGTCACGGCAAGCAATGGCAGAAATTGCGTTCCAAAATGAATCCGATATTTTTGAAACCCACAATTGCAAAACAAGGATACAACATTTAATAACCGACGGTCTCCAAATGCCGGACGATGTTGAAAACGAACTTCACAAAATGGCGTTGGAATTGACTGGGAACATTGGGCTTAACCAAAGATTGGGTTGTACCATCATAGAATCATTTAAGCTGTTCGCTTTAGACTTAAAACCTTACGGTAAATTTTGCATAAAACACAATTTAAAATCGTGGAGGCAATTCGTTGAATATCAAAATTATGCGACGCAGTAAGTCTACATTAAATTTGTTATTAATCGATTCTTATAGAAACTCTGAGGATAGAGTCAAATCGCGACAGAGATTTTAAGGAAAACAACCAAAGATTTGGTTTTGATAAGAAACAAAAAAAAATAAAGTGTAAAATTTTACGTTTTAGATTCATGTGTTTATACCAAATTTGTACTTGTCAAACCTGGGTGATAACTTTAAGAAGTCAAGCGAATTTATGCCGGCTCAGATCCATGCAAGGTGAATTATCTTATAAGGGAGTGAATCCTTTCATTTGTATTCCTTTCGGAGTTGGTGCAAGATCTTGCATTGGAAGCCGATTTGCTAGTCTGGAACTTGAAATTATTACAGTTAAGGTATGAAAGAATGTAATGACTGTTCTTTGATTGGGTTGATGGGTTTCCATTCAATTCTAGATCATAAGAAACTTCGAGCTCAGTTGGCCACACGATGATGACATGACTTTCGTACGCGATTTACTTTACGGTGTTAAATCTCCGTTGAAGCTGCACGTAAGAGAAATTAAGTAGATCGTTGTTAATGTTAAATAAATAAAACAAAGGCATTGTTTATTGCAATATCGATAAGAGAAAACACTTTACTGCTTGATGCATTGTTCCACATAATCCAGTACGGTCTTCAAGATTTTCTTCTCGGTAACTCGCATCCTAATTGCTAATTTTCTATTTGGTTTCAATATGTTGGCGGCGAGACGCTTCTCGTCATCCTCCAAAGTAGTTTTATATGCCGCGAGTAACAATTTTATTCTTATTTGAAGAAATGACCAGGTTTTCTTCTCCAAAACCGTATCTAGCGCACAATCGAGACACTGCAAGTCGGCACACTTATCGCTCTCAATCCAGTGCTGCAATTGATCTATAAAGTAACACAACAAAATAAGAAGACACGAAGTAAATTAGTTAAGTATTATAATCTGCAGGTAAGGAGAATCGGTTAATGGAAGGAAGGCAAACGAACCTTCATTCATGTTGAATACTCTCAGGAAAGCAAGCAGCTCGCCGATAATTGGTTGCTGGCCATTGTTCAAGTAGAAAGTGCTGTTTGGATTTATAAGCAGCTTTTCGAGTAAAATTGCACGTTTTTCTCGCAACGGGTCGGATTGGCTAATACCCAAACTAAGTGCGAAACCATCGTGCTCGTTCTCTTCGTAAACAAATCTACAAAACAAAACAATTTAATAAACAAAACAAAAATATTCTTTTATAGACGAAATGTGTACCCATTGTGAATGAATAGATCGGAGTTCGTTCTGGCTCCATAAAAGATGAATAATTGTTCGCCCTTTTTGAAATCCCTCACGGCCAGACATTCGCTCCTATCTTCCATAGGATTATAATCTGTTGAAATCTGAAAACAAAATAGTTACACCGTTTTCCGTTTAATTGTAAAGACAAAACTACATTTCCATTAGTGTGATTACAGAAATCCCATAATGGAATTAATGCACTGGTCATTTCTGCTTTATCCTCGGACGGGATAGTGTTTTGGCGGGTCATTACAGTAGAAACGGCCCAACTGAAATTAAAACATAAATAATTAATACAATATAACGTACATAGCGCTTCATGTTATTTTATAAATACATAATGATTTGTTTACGTAAACTATATTAATTTGTTTTTTGTTCAATTAATTTATAGTTAAATTACGTCTTAGAAAGTTTTCCTTCAAATAGTAAAGAATCATTACAACCTCTTATTTAACTATATTTCTATATACAAAAAATACATCATTTATAACGATATCATCACTTAATAACTAGTTTTATATTTATTTAGATATAAATATATGTGGCTCAATAATTTAATTTTCTAATTTAATTAATAATATCTGAAATCTTTTATTGAACTATATCCAATAAATTAATTTCTTATATGTATTAAGAGAAAATTAAATGTAAATAGATAATATGAAAGCAGTCAAGATCCGAATGGTTTTCCTTTACAGGAATGCATAGAACTCGTTTATGACTAAATGGGTTACAAAAAATCAAGAAACATTGGTAAAAGTTAGATCGCGAGCGAAATCTCTATACCCAAGCATCTGAATTATATAATTTATTGCTATTGTTAATAATCGTGTATTGTTGACGCTTTAATTTGCATCCGAAGGTGAACATTTACTTATAATGAATTTACCTTGAGAACGTTCTTTTTCAACTTTGAACAGTGAAAGCCCATTGTGACAAGTTCACATCGTCTGCAAGATGGAATACACTTTCTTCTGACTTTTGATCTGCATTGTGCAAAACCGTAATTTCTGAACGAGTATCCCATGATAAACGCTTTTGATATACGCGCGCGCTCCATGTATGTACTTTATTCCCTATTTTTTTTACGTTGGAAGGAATTGCGCAACATGCGCAAAATTCTTTTTAATAAATCGAGGAAGCAAATTCGCCGCGTATTAAGAAAGTGTACGAGAACGAAAACAAAATAATCTATTTGTGAATTCAACTTTCATTTGCAATTGTCTCATATTCTCTGCATGTCGTCTTCGATTCGAACGACGAAGAATAACACCTTTATGTACATTTTTGCACTTTCTACAAAGTTACATGGAAAGTTATTGAGATGTTTGCATACGGAATTGCATATGGACAAGTACATCCCGAGTGTTCACGGAATCACTCAATATAAATATTTAACTATCGAGAGTCATCCTCAAATAATCGAGTATACTCTGAAACAAAACGAATCGACTTTCATTTATTCAAACTCATTGGCAAGATATGCATGATGGTGAGAGAGAAATGTATAAATTACTTATAAAAAGCAGAGCACGTATTTGGAACGAAACCGAAACACTTTCGTACATGATTGTGTGTTCTTTTTTTTTGCAAATTTTATTCTAGTCTGGACGTTATTTCACGAAAAGTTGCATAATTTCAAGCGCAGAATAAAACGGAGAATCGCGTAATAGGAAAGAATTGGATAATGATAAAGGATAATGGTTTTCAGAGCTCTGTTTACTCGGGTTTTGTTGTTGCGATATGTACAATAAGGCTATGAGTTCATAACCTTGCACACATCAATGAAATGTTTATGCAAGTTAATAATTGCGATTTTCTATTAAGAATAACCTAGTTATCTAAATTGTTTTGATTTATGCATATATTTTACAATTTCCAATTTTATGCATATAACATCGCATTTACTAGACAAATGAAATCTCCTTTTACAAATTCTCAATTTTTAACAGAATTCATACGTATACGATATACATACTTTGTAATTTTAATGAAAGAAATGTAAATGCAAAAAAAAAGTGAATTTCAATCAAAGTTTAACCCAATTTATGACTAATTGATTTGTAATCAAAACTATACTAATTTAATTTTTCGTAGATTAAAAGTTGATAGCTCCTATTTGTATAGTTTCTAATTTATATTTATGTTGATTTGATAAATTCTTTATTTTTCAGGTCCATTATGTTTATTATTACATCAAATTTACTTTTCGTGTGAATGAAAAGAAAGTCGAGACAGAGCGCTTTTCTTATATTAACATATTCAGTTGAATATCCGAAACCGTATTTAATTAGTTATTTTCACCTGGATCTTCTATTGAAAAAAAAAGAAGATTGTTTGCGAGGATTCAACGCTTGGTTATTAACAATAAAAATACTTTCGTTTACCTGACGACGCGCTTGGTCGGAAAACAGGTAAAAGCTTAAAAGAAAGACCCAGAGGATTACAATTGAGTATGAAAAGCAACGACAATCTCCAGTTTTTATGGGCTCATTGAAAGCTAATCCGTTTAAAGTCTATCTACGCATAAACCAGGTAATAATAACAACAGCAATCTTCGCATGATCACAATGGAGTACTGAAACAAATGGTCAAGACTAAGTACATTTTAATTGTACTTAGTTGAGGTAATCTTGCATGAGCAACGCAACGTCCTTAGTTTATTTTATTAAACAATGTATGTAAGTGCCGGTGGTTATCATTTGAAATGATCTCCGTTTGAATTTCCACGACGTTCGGTTATATTTAGAGTTGGACTGAAACAGCCGAAGGTCATTTGTAACCTACATCAATGTTAACAGCACTTTCTCCAAATTGATTATTTGCACCGGACCTCTTCTCCGTCTTCTTCATTTTCCCTTACGACGAGATCCGAGTTCGTTTCCTCTCCGTCGTTTACGAACGACAGAGAAATTATCTCTACCGTCGTCCAGCACATGGCGCGACAGAATTGTTTTTTTTTATTTTGATTGTAATTTTCATTCCAATTAACCCCAATTTCTAAATTTAATAATGAAAACAAAAGTTTCATTTTCACTTCGATTGGATTCCTCCTCTACCTAAACCCAAACAACCACAACAAAAATAATATACAGTGGAACCTCGCATAACGAGCAAAATAAATTGTCAGAAAAATGGATTTGTGGAAAATTGTTTCACTATACAAGTAAAAATCCGTAAATTTTAGAATGGATTATGTTCGTTAAGTGAGATTCCATTGTACTTTTGTTTCCAAATTTACATTTCCCATATGAAAAATATAATAACAGTTTTGTCATAAATCTAACATTTTTTAACTTCATCACGTTATAAATATATTTTTTCTCTCGAAATAACCAATGGTTAAAAACGTTTAAAGGAAAAAAAGCATGGATAATTCACTTTTCGAGTTTCCAAAGTTAATTGTTATGGTACTTCCAGGTTATTTCATAAACTTTTAGAATAAGCTTTATTACATTTTATTGCTTCTTTTAAACTTGAAAGAACGGTACACAGATAGAAGCTATTTGTTGGCGCCAAATGGAACATAAAATGTTATTTCAAGTTCATTTCAATTGACAACAATACTGGAATAGTATTATTCTGTATACCTGGACACCATAAAAATACCGACGAAAGATGAGTCCACTCGAATCGGTAAAAAAAAGATTTCTAAAATCGCTTTTATGAATAAAGTATATTCAGGAGAATATTAAAATAAACAACGTATTGATAAAGTGTATTTTAAGTGCCTAACATTTGATTTTATAGTTATTTATATTGTTTTTCTTCCATCTAATAGTTAATTGATGATATTTATATTTAAAGATTTTTTATTGCTTTTTTGGAAACTTGATGTTTAAAAGTTAATTCAAGCAAGTTAAATCACCAATAATATTAGTATTCCACTAGATTTGTGGTTGATGAAGAATTGATATAAATTTTAGTAACAAACGCAATTATCATATTTTTTTATAATATAAATATAGTTATAAATAAAATACGGTAGAAATATATTTGTTTCTGTTATAAATAATCATGTTGCTCAAAATTTTATCAAAATGTATAAATTTACTTCGGAAGGTTATCTGAGTGTTGTAAGAGAAACATATTTTTAGTAGCAGTAGAAATTGTATGTTTATTAGAGTCGAGATGTAACAATCTTTATTGCGGTAGCATCTTCGGAGAAAGCTTCCCTTTGTGCCAATACCATCACTTCATAATAATACTAATAACAAGATCGTACATGGGCGTCGGTGTGTGCGTGTGTCTGCATGTAGAAATATAGGATCTCCTTCCCCACCAACGACGGTGAAAGGCCGCAAAGAGAAGTAAGCACATGTCTATCCTACTGTCATTCAAACATCAACAAACGGGCTCAGTAAAAGTACTGATTTTTCCGAACGCAGACGACGCTCGCCCTATACCAAAACTCGGGGGACCGTAATTTTTCACATTTTTTTTTCCACATTCGCTCTGCTGAAAGACTTCTTGCCAAGATGTTCCGGTTTCTTTTTCGTGTGCTGTTATCGACGACTTTACTGACTGTGTATTTTGGTGTTAGCAGTGAAGAAATTCTTGCAAAAACTGATAAGGCACCAACTGGCTTACAATTTGGAAGAGCTTTAAGGGATGACTCAGGATCGGACGTAAGTTCTTACACATTTATTTAAATTATTAAATACCATTTAAAAAAAAACGATTCTATATTTGTTTTTATAATTTTATGCATTCGTCAACTGAGAATTAAAAATTCTCTAATAAATCTAAATTTTGAAAATCTTTAAAAATCAAACATTTCAGTGTTTCACTTACCTAAATTACTATTGCACTAAATACTGAGAAACGAAAAAAGTACTTTAAATCAGAGGTTTTTAAATTGTCTACGATAAGAGTAAAGTATTGGAAAAATACTTTACTGAAACAAGTAAAAGTTTAAGGCGCGAAAAAACATACAGTTACATTCATTGCATAGCATCGAATTATGTTTCATGTAGTTTTATTTTACTTATTTTTTTTTATTATATAATTGCAATAAAAAAAAATGTTATTACAATAAGGTTAAGTTAAAGCCAATGGAATTACCTCTTGTAGAAGATAAAATTTCCAGCACCTTGAATTGCATAAATATATTCAAGGGAATTGCTGAGAAATAACATTGAAAATAACGTAATTGAATGATGTTAATTGAACTTTACCAATAACAATAAAAAAAATAACATCGTCGTTATTTTACTCAAAACAACAATTTTTATTGTTTCAATTCAATTGTCTTTATATTCCTTCTAGGATATTTGATTGTCTCATATATGATATTGAATGCAAATCACTGTTAATATTACTGAACCTAAAATATATATTTAGTAATCCGTTCCGCCAATATCCCGTGGTGTTAGAAACAGGAAATAAACTGTACTTGAGTAGAAAAAATCGATAATTTAAGAGGTAGAAAATACATTATTAGTATCGTTTTAAATTATTACATTTCTAATGTTACATTAATAGAAACCTGATACTAATTATTTTAAGTACATATATTAATAGTATAGAAAATTCGAAATTCCGTTCGATTGATGCGATTACATAATGCGCGTTGCGTTTCTGCAATTCATTTGGAATTTCTAAAGCGGAGAAGAAAATGAATCATGCAAAATAATATTTATTAGGAATTTCTGCTCGGCTAAACAATTTGCGCAAGAGTAAAATCGAGTCCGTTGTTATGAGAGGATTTCATTTCAATAATCTACTTTATTATCATTGAATATATCGGGTGTACGAGGGGAATTATAATTAAAAAATAAATGTGCTACTGTGCAATTTAATCAGGTCAAAAAAAATATTGTTGGTCTGAAATAGATCCAAGTTCTAGTTTAAAATCAGTTTCAGTGTGAGTCTGTGAACTGATTAAATGGAATCAATGTTATCGGATATTAATTGTGTATCGACTGAACAACCCACGGTTTGTGAACTGTACAAGTACAAGAGCAAAAAGCCGAGACGCAAAGCGAGTGAACTACTTTCGAGTTACAAAACGTGCGTTATATTGAAAATATAAGCATATTTCACCTGCCGCCGTTCCAGAAGGCCTAAGGAAAACGAGTAGTTATAATCTCTACAATTGCATGCCTTTTCATTGCGCAAAGATCAATGATTGCCCAAACACATTCCTTTCATTCAAGATAGTTTTGCTTTAGCGCCTCGATGCATCTGTTTCAATATACTTCTTCTTACATGTTAAATGCAAGAAGATGAAAAAAAAAGATGCGAGGGGGAAGATGATGATGATTATGCCTGCATATTTTTCGAAGCATCATCATTACGTAATGCGGGTGCGATTGAGCCCGTTGCATGAGACTCATCACGTAGATACCTCATTAAAACCATCTTCCCTATTCGAAAGGGAGGTCCAGATTGTGTTACAGGATGTTGCGATGAATGCCACCACCGTCGTTTCATCTACTCTTCGTTACCCAATAACACAGATTTCTAGTAAACAGTCACGTGCGTAAATAAACATCGAAGATCTTGAACGAGATTAATGATGGTGGCACGCGTGTCTTCGGGAAAAAGTAAAAGTTCTAGATGTTAATAAATATATATTTTTACGAGGTAAATGAACTTGAAGGCCCTCGTTCCTCAATTCCATCTCGTTTTCTCTTTCGTATGCGGTTTGTGTTGTGTGTGTGTGTGAGTGTGGCTAAATCCGGACAAAATATCGACTGCCGGTGGTCACATTGTCAATGCATCATTAAAGCCGTACGGAATTGATGTCAGCAATATGTTCGAAGCTGCTACAATCATTACTCAACGGCTCGAGATTACTTTTACACTCGCCCCCTCAGGAATACATAAAACCAAAAGTTTTTCCAGTCGCACATAAATATTTCACTTGAAGTGCATTAACCGTCCGAGTTCTTGTGCTCGTTTGCTGCATGAACGAAAAAAAAAAATAGACACATTAAACTTTACTTATGTCCGCGACGAAAGAAAAACAATGCATGATGTGTTAACTAATACATGGCATAAGTAAACTTATTTCAGTGGTGCTCATATATTCAACATGCACACTCTTCTTAGATTGATCTTTGATCATATGCTTTATACATTACATCATTTTATGATCTGCAACAATTATCTTTGAACTTCTGACTTGCAATATTTTTGTTTAACAATATTATTATTTTTTTATCAAATTCCGAAATGTGCGTTTCTTTATTTTCAATTAGAAATATATATTTAATACAACTTTTCTTCATTGAGCAAATTTATAATAAGTGATCTAAATAATAAATATTGGTTAAAATTACGACTAGTATTCAAATTGCAATAATTTCACTTATGCTAACTACTTGGTAAAAAGGGGATTTTTATAATTAATAATGTATGAGAAAATAAAATATGTTAACTAAATTCATAAAATGAGTTTATTTAAAGAAAACAATTTGTTTTCATTTAATAAAAAGGCTAAATATTGGTTTAGTGAATGAAATCGATGAACCGCGAACAAAATAAACGAAAGAGGTGTTAACTAATTGATTAATTTGGTTTGGTCGGACGGGAATGAATTCGATGGAGCTTGGAAATTGATGCTGCTGCTTGAAATAATGATTGCGTTAATTCATCAGAGTGCGCCGAAATCGTGCAGCTAATTGCAAATAGCGTCACGTAAACACAAACTTGGAGTATGCGAGTCTCTTGTGTATGTTAGAGTTAGTGTTCAGTTTGTAGTCTTTGACCGTTGTACAGTTTAATCCACCAAGTGCAAAGTAATCAATGTACTATTCTGCATTGTGTCTACAAAACCTTAGAAGCCGAGACCGCGCTCATCCCTTGTAAACTATTTCTGTCACCTCGGCCCAATTCATTCTACATCGAATAAACGTGCTCCGTAACTAATTCAATTGCAGACATTATCCTCCAAGAAATCGCAATAAAAATGAGAATACGAAAAAAAAAAGAGCGAAAACATATCCAATTTTGTTTTCAAATACAGACAACTTTTAAAATTACATCAGATTGGCCACTGACCTACAAGCTGTACCTGTTGGAATTTACTTCGATTAAATGCCTCCATGGGTACTATAACATAAAGTCATATAAAAAAAAAGAGCGACAACGATCGCGTTATAAAGAGAGAAGCCGTTCTAAGCGAACGCCACAACCAATGCTGTTTCATATTTGTGTTTCTCGTTTCGTTATAGTTCTACAATTATTGTTACAGATTTTCACGAAAGTGAAATTACATAACGTATCGTTTCTAATAGATTTCTCTAATTATTCCAAAACGCTCAGAGACACCGAAGGAACAAAAAGGTGATTCAACGTGCACGGGTATTTCTGTCTCTCCGATAAAACGAGCGAAAAGAAAATTTGCGTTTAGAATTTCAATTCGCGGATCGCGAACGCAAATTGAATGAATAAATTAATGCCCATTCTTCTCGTTATTATAAATGAAATTCTCCAAACGCACGACGCATCATTGCACAACCATCAAAAGTTAAAAAAAAACATATCGTTAACGTTCAACTGAATTTTAAAAGTAGTAAGATTATATTTAAATCATATAAATTATTTGTACGTAATTTTCAATTTGTCGTTTAAATTATATTTATTGGAATATTAAAGTTGATGTTTGCATTGAATTATTTTGTTTATATATCGTAACGAACTTGTACTTGTTTATTTATTTCATGAAATTAAGTAATATAAATCGTAAATGTGAAATGCTAGGACTGACAGAGAGATAAATGGAATGCGTTTATAAAACATCTTGCAATTCTTTGCAAGGAGATTTATATTATGGTCGTTACAGATGCCGCAATTGCTTTCCACCTAAAATATCCAGTCCGAAGACAAATATGTAAAGGCCTTAAACCCAATATCTCGAAGTCGATAAAATTAAAGCTGTGGCATTAAACTTGATCAATCAAGGCCGGCTCTTCTATTTGCGGCAACAGACGCGCAATCTAGATGACCGGAAGTAGGTTGTAACCCAGTTCTTTATAGAATTCTCAATAAATCACTTCGATGCAAACAACAAGACCAGATGATGGTGTTATACAATGGAGAGGAGCGCTCATTCCATGCTTTCAATCGCTAATTCACGATTAATTATAGTCCTATTTTATATCTTCTACTAAACGTTAATTAAACGTTTCTAATATTACATCTTCTTAACCGTTCAAGGAATTATATTGAATAGAAAAAAAATTCTAAAGGAGAGAGCTAAATTTTAGTGATTCAATCTTGGATATAATTGAAAACAGAAGTTCTATACGCGGAAATCTAATGAAATTTATGCGAAATTTCCAATGTGACAGATGTCGATTACCGGCTGAGTATGTTAAGCAGCCGCAAAATCAATTTCATAAAATATGCGCTTAAATAGAAAGTATTGAAAGTAGTAATAATAGTAAAATGTTTTCTATTCGTATGTTCATTTTTATGCTCAATTTATTTTTGTAGTATATTTTCTAAAATCTCCTACCACATGTGTAGTCACACACAAATTAATTGAATGCCAGAAGTAGAAACATATAACATCCCGGAAACCATCGATAAAATAAGAGGAAGTGACGATTTTAATATAACGCTAATTGTATTTCTTTTTTTTATTGTTCTGCAGCAATGGAGAGCGGTCGAAGAGCATCACGTAGAGAGCAGCGGATGGATCGGAACGGATCAGGATGAAAAGCAGCCACAGAAACGCAGGCGGTTACGGAAACGCAAGAGAAGGCCGCAGATCATTACAGAAGCTTCCGATATCGAAGTGCCAAGGCCGAGGAGACGTCGCCCAGTGAGATTGGACGAAATGCGCGACAGCTGGAGGGAATTGGAAGAAGAGACACCGAAACGCACGTACAACAGAAGACGGATTAGTCCTGTTTATAAGCAGGACGACGCGGATGGTATTGTATCTGCATCCATTAAATTCGCGAACGAAGAAGATAAAATACGCGATCCTTTGCTGGCGATGAAAGATGCTGAAGAGAAGATGAGACGCAAGAAGGTGCAAAATACTACCGGCTCTGCAACTGCAGATATAAAAACGTTGCTGAAACAGAACGGAGGATTGAGTTTGAGTGAAATCTTGCAGCAGAGAAACTTGAGTCTATCGGATCTGCTGAAAGGAAAGAAACAGGCAATTTCAGCATTATCCGAACCCGAACCAGAAGTAATGGCTAGCAGGAATTACGAATCCGATAATGATTCTCTCGAGGAGGCGAAGAAGGAGAATTTGGAAGTGCAGCGCAAGAGGCTCTCGATGCTTTATAATCACAAGGAAAATAAGATTTATAGCGACGTGACTAAGTACGACGTTATTACGGAATCCACGACGGAGAAGCGCATATTTGTACCGTCGCATCCCAAATACTATACGTCAATTAATTATCGTCCGGAAATAGGTATTACAGAAAGAATCACGGAGAGTATTCCGAAATTTACTACCTCGAGAACACCTAACATCAATGAGAATATCATCAGCAGAAAATACGCTAAACTTCCAATAACCAGCGCCAAGATACATCAAACTGTTAAAAAGCCGATGGATGATCATACTAAATTACCACCGAAAGCATTCAAAATTAATCTCAACGATCTGGTAGGCTTCAGCGATGTTATCAGTAAAGAAGATGATAAATCGGATGGGCCTTTTAAAATGTCCTTTGATATTGAAGCATTTACTGCGGAACAGGAAACTACTACATTAAAAACAACTACTACCAAAAGAACAACGACTGCACCCACAACTATTAAAACTACTACTACTTCAACAACAACTACTACTACAGTCGCACCTACAACGAAAAATATAATTAAAACCAAACTGCAACCCATAAGCGCAAAAGATGAAGTAATGGAGATTTTGAGTGACGAATCTTCAAAGCTCAATTTAACTAGGATATTAGAAATGCGCAATATGACAGTGCAAGAGTTTATTGAACAACGCGAACGTGGATCTAGTCAAATTCATTTAGCCGATATATTCCACAATAATACGAAAGAGCCGGAACCACAACACGAACATATTGTCGAAGTTAAAATGGATAGCGAACGTCAACCGAAAAGTTCCAAAATTCATGAAGATCTTAACTTGAAGCCCTTGCCAGATGTCAGTATTAGCAGCGAAGAAATAGTCACGTCTGAAAAAATACCCGGAACCAGTTTTCCCACCTACAAAATCGAAATGAACAGACATACTCCTGTACCGAAGTCCATTTGGAAAAGTATCTATCCGGATCCAATTCTCAAAAAAGAAATTCAACAATTTCAGGAAATTGAAAATTCAATAGCTGAAGCTGTCAATGAGGAGTTAGGCGATGGTCACGAAGATGAAGATGTCAAAGACGAACAAAGAAAAAGTCACTTTGATTACGACGATTATATTCAGTTGCCAATGGGCGTGAAATCTGCGATATTCGCGAGTCTCGCTATAATCGGTATTTCTCTTTTTGTATTCGTAACGATACTCGTGATATTCAGATGCTCGCAAAAACACAAAAAGAGATTATGCTACGCTGAGAGTAGTTTCTCCTGTTCTAAAATTAAATCGCCAATTTTGGAGAACGATCCAAAAACAACGATTAGAAGCTTCATGTCGGAAACTCTGGGGAAGAAGAAAAATGTGTATTCATCACATCAGCAAAGTATGTCGGATTCATGGGAAACCGAGAAACCTTATCAATAAGGCCAACATTTTATGTATTTATATTAAAGACTTGATAACGTGATTGAATGTGCAATATTTATATTATTATGTTTTATTTATTGTTTCCACAAAAGACTTTTCATTTTAAGGCATTTATCGTTTTAGATTTATATAATATATAAGTATAAGAACAATCACTAAATAATACTCATTATTAAGTTTTGATGGCTCTGAGGCTATTGTATCAGTTGTAAATATTCATGTAGACTTTTAAAACATTTATGAATAAAGCAACACGAGTTTTTTTTTTAACTAAATTAATTATGCAATTTTCTCTTACCAATATTGCTTAAAGGAGAATTTTCCACGTAAACCCAAACAAACGGACTCCTCGGAGGTGTGGATAAGCTTGTAGAAATAAGCATATTGCCTGCAAATGCTTTTGATTTGTTTGAGCGCCAATTTAAGATTCGGAGAACCAATGAGCTCTTCTAATTCAAGATAGTCATAATATAAAACCGTTGAATAATTATTCGGCAAGACGTCGATGTAGGGCTTCCAGAAGGAATCCTCTTTAAACTTCTCCACGAGCAGAAACATTGCCAAAACAACGTTTGGCATATTCTTCAAGATCGCGTCCTTTTCAAGGAGCGGAGCTAAGGTCGTGTGCATTGCTGAATCTAGAGTAAGCATAATCTTCCTCGGTATGGCAATGATCAAGGACCCTTCCACTATGTCCACTTCAGTTTTAAGCCCCAAATCGTATCCCTCGAAATGGGCAATGGATGTACCATCGAATTTCGCGCCATTGTCCTTAAGCCAGACTTTGAAAGCCTCCAATGCTGCGCCATCTGTGCGGTTCGTGCAGATTTCGTTGGCTTCCAATTCATTAATTTTCTCTGTTAATGCAAATATCTCCTTGTGGGCTTCTAACTCTTTAGTGACATTAGCATGGGGCGTTTTCACAGTCACCCTCAGCAATTGATCGACCAGCTCAGACAGTTTCTGCTGTTTGTTATTGAGGTTAGGTCTCGGTTTGTTGTGTTTAGACTGACTCTTGCGACCCATCTTTCAAATTGATTGCCAATAATGCTACAGGCCCTAAAATATTAAACCTTTAACCCAACTTTCTCCGGAGCACGTGGCCTCTCTTCTTCAATTTTACGTACACTATTCGGTTACACTAATTTTAGAAATAACCTCAAACAACGCTCAGCTTTAATAGATGGAGACACAATGTAAAGAAATTTAAAGAAGAAATTGGACTAAAATAATTTTTATTTATAGAATATTGAATTACACCTTATGATTCAACCAGCTACACTTCTCACTAAACTTAACCAATATCTCAGATAAAAGATTATTCTATTTACAGTTAGACAATGTCACAAAACCTGTTTCTAAGTAAATTAATCAATTAAGTTTAATAATTAATGAAAAACTGTATTTGCTATACTGAAAACGCAAATAATATGAAAGTATAATCCTATTGAAATTCGAGAATAAATTTATGCAACTGCACACACAACATCTATGCTATGAGAAAAACATATCTTCAACTGCAAACATCCATTAAAAACTCAAAGTATTTCAAAATTATTTAATGTTTAATATGTTTAAATAAACGTCCTTAATAATTATAAATAGTAAATAATTAATAACAGATTCATGATTAATTACTTGTGCTTATTCGTAAAATTATATTTATTTCGCATACTTTTTATTATATTGTGTATAATTTATATGGAAACTGTAAACTTTTTATTTTCTTTTCAAATATATAATTAAAATAGATGTTCAGGTTAATACTTCTTGCTTGTATTATAATCATTAACTAAACTTGAATGCTCAAAGTACAGTGATAGCGCAGTGCATATTTTCCTTTGAACGCTATAAAGTTTTCGAAAGTTTACAGAAATAAGTTTTATTAAAGCATTTCTCAAGACAAAAGATTCTCGTTAAATAGTTTTAGAATTACCAACATACAACATATTTATTTGCTTATTAACAAAATGAAACATATGCAAATCTTATAATTATTTGTATAAATTTAAGGTATACATTGTTATTTTCAAACATAAAAAATATGGTTAAAATATAAAGTAAAATTAAAAACAATAAAGTTTTCTGAAAAAAACCCTCATTGTCAACAGAAGCGTTTAAAATCAGTGAATTAACATTTAATATTTCATTATCACATTCGAAAAATTACTTTTCTTAGTTATAAACTGGGATTTAATTAGGTAAATCTAGGATAAATAATGATGTTTGTAGTTTCATATTATAAAGATACATATTTTGAAAGTAATTAGTGCTGTTGGCGTTTAATTAAATAATGTTGACGACAAAACGAATGTTGTTTCAATGGAGTAATGAGAATTAAGTTTTAAATTGGGCATAACAATAAGGGCTCTTGCATTCAGAAAAGCGGTGGAAAAGTAAACGGCGTGCACAGCGAGAGTTTATTTCATCATAAATTTTCATAAAACACTTTAAGAGAGACAAAACCCGGCAATTTATTTATATAGTGGAGGGAACAGGCAGGGCCGACAGCACTTGAATTCTTATTGCGCGCCATCCATAAACCCTCTTAATTAAAAAATAGTCGACCAAAACGAAAGTTTTACAATTGGAAACTTAATTAAGATTTTAGCCTAAGCAATATATTAATTGAAAGTTAGATATAATTGAATATAAATTGATGAAATGATGTAAAACTATTCAGGTGTTGCTGTTATATAATTTTAACCAATACATAACAAGCTTTTGCAAGCACGAAAACGGGGTGCAAAAAAAGTGGTTGGCATGCGTCGGATGCTGCAAAGTTCGGTCTGTGTATATCTGATGTGCAGTTGGCGCTGTAAATTCGGGATGTTCAGAGAGACCGGGAAGCCCGGAATAAAGCTCCGGTTTCGTGTGTCGTCGAAAAGTTTCTGTCGCGCAGAACTAATGTGCATTAATTAATAATCCTTGTCGCGTTCACCTCTGGATTAAACAAATTCACTTTAAAAACTTTTTCCGTTGGTGCGATGCGCGCTAATTAACTTTATTAGAAAATCGGAATGCAATATTGGGAGAGAGCGATGTTCCTCAGTGGTTTCTTGGCAGCGTTTCTTATTAGTTTCTTAGCTGGTGAGTATGCAGAGCTCTTACTTTACTTTAGCAGTCCGTTGGGAAGTTTACAAGTGCCATAAAGATTCGGTTTTTACGAGCTTCACGAACTCACTGTAAAATGCATGCAAATCGTTTAACGATTCATTTACAAATTGTTCTATATTAATTTTAATTTAATAGATTAACAATAAAATTATTATTTCAATTACCTTTATTTTACAATTAATTAGAAAAGTAATAAGCATTAATTATTAAAATATTTAATTTTACAGAATATTATTAATTATAATTAACAAACTAATATCAATAATACCCATTTCAACAATAATTAACAAACATAAAAGTGAGAAATAATAAAAAAAAGTGCAAAACAAAAATTAATTCTTCAATAAAATATTTAATATTAATTATTTCAATCTGAGACTACAATTATTAAGTGTAAATATACGTGCTTTAATTATATATATCATCAACCGATATATCTTTTTATTCATTCTTTGATACAGTATATTTTAGGTACGTTAATTAAATTCGCAGTGATTTTATCTCTTAAATTATGTTTACTTATAATCTCACCTGAATTTATTCGTGAAAATTATACAAATATAAACTCACTGAATTATGTAGTAAACTTCTTTTATTAAATATCGTTCTGAATGAGATATGTAAATTGAAAACAAATTACAGTAAATAAAGTATAAATTTTTGTTTGACGCATTTTAGAGGAAATTATAAATTTTCCTTTGGCCTTTGTTAATTTTATCATAGAACGTGTCTTATTTATTTTGAATTTATTTTATATGGAAAATATATAATAATTATTATTTTATAAATTTTATTAAAATAATATTTGTACTCAATTATTTATAATAATTGCACTTTTGTGCATTGTTAATCATCTAATTCATATTTTTATCATTCAATCAAAATATAAGTAACTAAGAAAGGTTTATTATCTTTTATTTCAAGTAACGTTTATAAGTGCACTTGCTTATTTACAAAAGATTACATATCTGTTATATCCATTTATAAATTAGCAATATTAAGCTTTTTCCAGCTTTGCAATGCTTTCTGTAATAACCATAAAACTTTTAAATAGACTAGTCTCTTACAAATCCAGTTTCGTAATGACTATAGTAACTGCGAATCTTGGATTTAAGACCAGATTCAGCAATTTTATCGACTACTATTAAAGTGTTGTTATAACATTTATTACATATATTTGTTATGGTAGCAGTTTGTAGCTCGATGTTAACGTTCAGTAAATTAATTTCCTATTGATAATACGTAACGAAATTTCGTAGGTTGGAGTGTTTGAGTTGTGAAGATGTTATGCAGTTAGTTTACTTCTGATTCATTTGCATATCAATCATACCTAGTTAAACTTTTCGTTACTTATTTCAATTAAAAATGAATTTTAATACATTACTTTTAGATATTTTTGACAATAATATTAATTTCTTTCAACTTTTAATACGTTTCGATATGTGTATATTTTATAAAATAGTTTGATTTGATGAAATATAAATAAATTGTAAAATTCTTTTACTAAGAAATAAAAAGAAAATAAAAGTGAAAAATCACTTATTTTTTTTTGCTAAAGGCGTTGTCAATGTTATAAAGTATTAACCTATATAAATCAATGATTGATGAGCCTAACTGGAGGAGAGGTGTTATTAGATATTGAAAAAAAAAGTCAAGTGCTTAAGAATAATGATGAAAATGTATCGTGCTTGACGAATAAAGTATGTAAGCTACCAAGAGCACGAAATGTGTATAAAAACGAGGATAAAAAGGGCATTACAGGATCATAATTGCGCAGTTTTACGATCATGTACCTTCGAGTGGTCTGGTCCTTGCGTTGTGATTGTTGTAATACTTTTTTATATATATGCTGAGAGTGCTTTTTTCTTTCGACAAATGGTTTTGCATTAAAACCGTGCTTTCGTAGCCATTGTTACACTTTGCTATACCTAAAAGAGTTGAAATGTATAATTATAAAAAAAATAATTGCGTTCTTTCCATGCTTTTATCTTACCTTGTTTACATGAAAAGAAAACCTTTAAGATGCAGCTCCCATCGCTAACCTACATTTTTTCTTCTTTCTTTCGGCATCTTGCATTTCCTTGACAAGTTGTCAGCTTGTCACATCACATATTGGAATTTAAATGAAAAAATAATGGTAAATATTTGCACTGAGGTGAATACCTTTGCATTTTCACAAATAAAAACTTTGTGAAATATCATAGTATAAATGTTTATTTTATTTAAACATATATTTCTTTATTAAAAATATTTTGAAAATATCATATTTTTTTTAAATAAACTCACTCAAATTGGCAAATAGTACTGGTTTATCCAAATCAAATCAAATTCATCAATTTTATAAGTCATCAAACTGCAGTGGACGTCATTACTTTAAATTAGTTTGGATTCAGCTTTTTTTTTAAATTAATTAAAGTTAAATTAGTAAACGCAAAAAAAAAATCAAATAGAAAAATGATTGCTTTTCGTCACGTCGACATTTTGACGAGGTCGACGCAGATTGCTGTTAACAGAGAGAATAAAAAAAAATAATAGAAGTGAGAGAGAAAAGCAAAATTAAAATTGCACCGGAAGATGGAAATAATTTGGTGCTTCAATTTTAAAGCCACACATTGTTTCTCTCTCTCTCACTCTCTCTTTCCAAAAATCTCATAACTTCCCCTTTCAGCCATATACAAAATTAACAAAAGAATGGGATTTACACTAAACCGCACGCCTCCTTCGAACCGTCCCGAAAGTCGCCTTTCGAAATCGCTAAAAAAAACACACGGAAGGGGCTTTTCAATTTCCTTTCGTGAGGATACTTAATGCCCAAAACCATAATTAAATTGTCAAAAGCACATTTCGCTCCCTCGGGTTTTTGTTTTAGTCTTCGTGCGTTGCGACAAGAAATGTTTTATGCAACAAGTTCTGCTTTCCTCTATTCTCTTTCTGCTTCCCTTTTCTTCTCCTTCTCTTCCTCCTATCATTTTTTTTGTTTCATTGCGTGTAGCCAAGTTATTCATAGATAATATAAAGCCATTTGTATTCATGCAACATGTGTGCGATTTCGTGGGAAAACGAATGGGAGGATTTAGATAAAAGTCCCGATTCGAAATTACGTTGCTGCATTCAAATTAATGCCTTTCGTTTCGAATCAAAAAGAAGAAATGCAAAAT